TTGGGGGTTTCTTCTCCGTGCCCACCTCCAGACGGCTCCTCGCTTGCCGTCTGCTGCACTGCGGGTGCAGGGGCTTCCCGGGGATCCCCCCGCTCCGGCGACTGGGCCTGGGGCAGGATCTGGCCCTGGGGCATCAACTGGGGGTCCCAGGTACTCTCCCCTGCTCCTCATGCTCTTTCTGCCCTCCCCAAAAGTTTCTTTGCTACAAATCATTTTGTCAACCCTGGGATGGTGCCACACCAGCACCCAAACCCCCAGCGCCAGGGCCCTGTATTTATTGCTGCATATGGCCTGTTTCATTCGTGCCTCAGTTTCCCCCCGTGTGGAAGGGGTTGGCAGCTCCTCCCTGTCGCCATGCGATGAGACCAAGCTGCTTGGGGCTCGATGGCCTCCCCTCGAGGACGGGGACACCCAGGGATGGGTCACTTTACAGCTTTCCTCCGACCAAGCTGGGCCATGGGATATGGGTACCAGAGACAGGACAAGGTCGGGACCAGGGATTTGGGGATCAGGAGAAGGATGCTGAGCACAGTGGCACATCCCTGATGGAGACAAGCCCGGGGACGGCTCCGTGCTCTTCCCGCTGCCTCCTCCACACCGGCTGTGACACAGCCCATGGCCCACGGGGTGGGAGGACATCTCCATGTCCCCATCGCCCCGTCAGCATAGCTAGAGCCTGTTATCATATCCTCCCCGTCGCTCTTCCCCTTTCTAGACTAAACAAACTGAATTCTTTTAACTTTCGCTCATCAGTCATATTTTCCACGAACGGCTTTTTGCTCCCATCTGCAACCTGCTCCATCCCCTCCCGGGCTGTGGGGACGGGCTCCAGCCTGTGGGATGGGACAGGTCCAGCCCATGGGGTCAGGGTCCAGCCCAGGGATGGGACAGGTCCAGCCTTCGGGATGAAGCAGTGAGCTTCCGTGCCATCCTCCCTTGAAACCCCAAAGAAAACAGGGTGGCTTGTCACAGCCAGTAACACCCAGGGGCATCCATCTCCAGTGCTGCCGGCTCACACCCGTATTTTTGGCTGTTGAGAGGGATGTAGAGGGGCAGGAGCATGAGTAAATACATGATTTTAGGGTTTGGCTGTGTTTTTATTAACTTTTTCTGCACAAAGGGGTGCAATTCCCATGGCAGGGCTCGGGGGAGCGGATGGCACGTGAGCTGCTGAGAGCCGCTCACCTTCAGCAGCGCCTTCCCCCGGGGCTGCGCCCAGCCCCTGCCGCCCTGCTGCCTTTTTCCAAAACATCTCTGCAAGTTTTAATGAAGCGGAGTCAGCCCACGGGGACCACGAGGTCTCCTGTGATGCTCAGGGCACGATCCCCAGCTGGACCCCTTCTGCAGAGCCACTGTGACGGTCCCCCCGGTCCCCAGTGAGTTGCCCCAGCAGTTAACGGTGGCCGTGGCTTGGTGATTTATCCCCAGGGTGTATTTTGTGTCCTCCTCTAGCATTTGAATATTTTTTTCCACTCTCATCTATCAGGTTCTGCTGCCCAAACAGGGACTTGAGGTGACACCGGCACTGTCCCCGGGGTGTGCACGGGCTTCCCCACGGCTCCGCTCACCCCCATCTCCTTTTCTCTGTCCCCAAAGATCCTGTCCAATGTTGCCATCTACCTTTGCGCCATCACGGTGGGCACCATGTCCTACTACATGGCCGACCGCAAGCACCGCAAAGCCTTCCTCGAAGCGCGCCAGTCCCTCGAGGTCAAGCTCAACCTGGAGGAGCAGAGCCAGCAGCAGGTAGGAGCCACAGCTGGGCAAGGGGACAGCGTGGGGACAGGGCAGGGGACAGCGATGGGACACCGGTGCGGCTTTGGGACATGGATAAGGCACCCTCAGCCTGCACCCTGCCCAGTGCAGAGGGTCTGTGGCTGGTGGCGATGGGGACAGGAGGACCCAAAGTGGGAAATGCATTTACAGCTTTGCACCCTGTGCTCAATTTGGGGACTCTCCGTGTGACCGTCCTCTTCCAGGGCCTCCCAGCTCCTGCCATGGCCACCACCAAGCTGTCCCCATCCTGGAGCACAGCCACGCAGCAGGTCCCGATCCCCATGCACGGCCACGCGGCAGGTCCCC